AGCTTCATTGATTACGCATTGAACGGAGAGACACACCAGTCAACGGACACATCTTCACCATCCAGACTAAGCGGGCAACGCGGATATCAGCCCTCCACACTCCGTCTCAGTCCGGTGGTAGTTCGGCGATGATGATTGGTTGGTCATGTGTTCCTGAGCTCAGTCACTTCGGGACAGCTCAGTAACCGCTAGGCGGCCATGTCTCCTCCAATTTTCGCTAAGCGGATGTGTTTTTCACGTCTCCGCATTAAAAATGTCATTTTCAGATCAGGTTGCCCTTTCCAGATTTCAGCTTGATCCCCCATTCGTCACTTATCCCCTCCTCAGCCTCATAGACGTGTGTTAACACCCGCACTCAACCCACACATTCACGCACGGCAGCGGCGACGTGAGTGCGGATGGTGCTCCAACGGCGCTGACGACTGCAGCACACCCCCGGTGAGAGGAGGCCTTGCGGTGACTCACCCTGGACGCTCCCTTCCGTACGCTCCTCCTCCGCCAGTCCCGTGGGTGCGCGGCGTGGGCGGAGAAGCCGACCGGCGATTCTGACGGTCCGCTCGGCCCGCCGGCCAAACACAACACGGGATCGTCCCGGCGCCGGCGGCGGCGGCGGCAATCGACGGCCGTCGCTGACCCGGTCACTGACCGACACTGGTCCGATTAGCAACCGCCACTCGTCCGATCAGTGACCGTCACTGGCCCGGTTACTGACCGACACTGGTTCGATTAGCAACCGCCACTGGTCCGATCAGTGACCGTCACTGGTCCGGTCAGAGGCCGACACTGGTCCGATCAGTGATAGTCGCTGGTCAGATCAGTGACCGTCACTGGCCCGGTCACTGACCGACAATGGTCCGATTAGCAACCGCCACTTGCCCGGTCAGAGGCCGTCACTTGTCCGGTCGGAGGCCGTCACTGGTCCGATTAGCGATCGTCACTGAAGCGATCAGTGACCGTCACTAGTCAGATCAGTCGCTGGACCGATCAGTGACCGTCACAGGTCAGATCAGTCACTGGACCGATCGGTGACCGTCACTTGTCAGATCAGTCACTGGAGCGATCGGCGACCGTCACAGGTCAGATCAGTCACTGGAGCGATCAGTGACCGTCACTAGTCAGATCAGTCAGTGGACCGATCGGTGACCGTCACTGGTCAGATCAGTCACTGGACCTATCGGTGACCGTCACTGATCAGATCAGTCACTGGAGCGATCGGGGACCGTCACATGTCAGATTAGTCACTGGACCGATCGGTGACCGTCGCAGGTCAGATCAATCACTGGACCTATCGGTGACCGTCACAGGTCAGATCAGTCATCGGACCGATCAGTGACTGTCACAGATCAAATCAGTCACTGGACCGATCGGTGACCGTCACAGGTCAGACCAGTCACTGGACCGATCGGTGACCGTCACAGGTCAGATCAGTCACTGGACCGATCGGTGACCGTCACTGGTCAGATCAGTCACTGGAGCGATTAGAGGCCATTACTAGTCAAATCAGTCACTGGAGCGTTCAGAGGTCGGCACTGGTCAGATGAGTGACCGTGGTTCCATTGGTGACTGTCACTGATCCGCTCAGTGAACGACTCTGGTTCGATCAGTGGCCCTGGTTGGTCTGATCGCTGTGCTGATGTCACTATTAGAAATGAAAACACCGTCACTGGCCGTAGTGTTTTCACATGATCTGCAACATTTCGCTAACATAACAAGCGTTCAAAAATACCCTCGGCTGAAAGTTATCAAAACGCCACTTCCTATCCCACATTTATTTCGCTAGCTGCGTATGCTGGGATATGACGTTGCATCGAAGGAAAGCGCAGTCAGTTCCGACATTCAGTCTCCATCAGCGGCCTTAGCTGCCGACGGGCCGACGGCTGGCCCCGCCGTCAAGCGCCGCCCGGCCGCCGGCCGAGCGCGCCCCATTGGCCGTCGGCGTCGGCGTGACGCGGGTCCTGTCGCGTCTCGAACGCGCCTTCCCCGCGTGAGCAGTGTCGGCGCGCTGCCTTATGAAGCCGGCGGCCGGGCGTCATCACCAGCCGGCTGTGAGCGACACCCCGCCGGTCAGCGGGGGCCACCGGGACCTGGCCACACCAGCGGGGGGGGGGGAGTGAATAGGAGGGGGGGGGGGGGGGGGGGGGGGGGGCGCTGGCACGGGCCGCCGCCGGCTGGCCGGTCGTAGATCAGGCCTGAGCGGTTTGCCGGGCCAGGTGAGGGGTGAGTCATGGCGGAGTGTTGTGACGAGTCCGCCGTGTGGGCCGACCGGGCGGCTGCGGCGGCCTCGGCCAGTCACAACGCCACCTGTCGCTGCAACACAACACGACCTGTCGCCTCAACACACCACGACCTGTCGCTCCAACACAACACCATCCGCCGCCCCAACATAACACCACCTGTCGCTGCAACACAACACGACCTGTCTCTCCAACACAACACCATCCGCCGCTCCAACACAACACCACCTGTCGCTCCAACACAACACGACCTGTCGCTGCAACACAACACGACCTGTCGCTCCAACACAACACCATCCGCCGCTCCAACACAACACGACCTGTCGCTCCAACACAACACCACCTGTCGCTGCAACACAACACGACCTGTCGCTCCAACACAACACCATCCGCCGCTCCAATACAACGCGACCTGTCGCTCCAACACAACACCACCTGTCGCTGCAACACAACACCACCGGTCGCTCCAACACAACACCACCTGTCGCTGCAACACAACACCACCGGTCGCTTCAACACATTACGACCTATCGCTCCAACACAACACCATCCGCCGCTCCAACACAACACGACATGTCGCTCCAACACAGCACCACCTGTCGCTCCAACACCACACCACATGTCGCTCCAACACAACACCACCTGTCGCTCCAACACAACACCACCTGTTGCTCCAACACAACACAAGCTGCTGCTCCAACACAACACAGCCCTGATGCAGTACAGCGCTTGAATACAGTACACCTCTGCGCCCAATATCTTAAACACAGCAACTTAGTAAATGTTTCTACACAGTGTAACGCACCTTCAGCACGACGCTTCGCTGAAATACAACACCCCCCAGAACAACACATGCTTCAATGCAACACAACTACGACGAACACACCTACAGCACGGCACATGCTCCAACACAACACAACATATCACGAATGCAAAGCAGCTGAAGTCCAGCATAACCCTCGAGCAAAACTCAGCACCATCAACACAAACCCCAACACACCACACCAACACAACACAACACCTCGCCGACCGGAAAGGCCACTGACACGGCTGGTGCAGCCTTGGCCCTCAAGAGGCCCTGCATCCCCCGTTGCCATCCCCCCAACACACGATACATCCCCCGTTGCCATCCCCTCACACACGGTGCATCCCCGTTGCCACCCCCCTCACACACGGTACTGAAGCCGCTGGGCCCGTGCCGATAGTCCGAGTGAAAATGCGCACCGACCGGCGGGCGAGAAAGCTGAACACGGTTGAACCACGAAAACGACACGTCAGACACAAACGTGTCAAACGACAATGACCGAACACTGGAAGCGGTGGATGGTGGCTTGATCGCAGGCTTTCTGCCGCAGCGGCGTCACGAACTGATCGATGGACACACATGCTCCGGTGGACTCGTGAAGATGAGTCTTGAGGTAGGAAGTAGAAAGGTAGAGGTAGTAGAAAAGTAAGTAGAAAGTTACTGAAGATTGCCAGACGAACGAGGGCTGTTTGTCGTCGGACGATGGGCGTCCGGTTACGCGCGCAGCTACGTGGTGTGGCCACTGCTGTCCGCTATTGCAGCACGGCAGCCGTGGTGTGACGTGGCGTGACGTCACCGCCGTTACGTGCACGGCGTGATGACGTAACACGCACGCCGGTCGCGTCGCCCGTACTGACAAGTTTGGGGAGTAGGTGGTTGGGGATGGGGAGGGGGGGGGAAGGTCAGCCAGCCGAGGAGAGGGAAGCCAGCCAGCCAGCCAGCCAGTCGGGGGGGGGGGGGGGATGGCCGGCTCTTCTGACCCCCGTGCGGGTCACGTGACCGGGGCCGTCGTCACCGCAGATAGATGGTCGCCGCAGAGGACCGGGCGGAGGTGACCTGACCTGAAACACGTGGCCTGGAGGTCTTGTCCTGACCTGAACTGACCTATCACATGTGATGCTGGCGGCTGTGACCTGAGGCTCCCCACGTGACCTGAGTGGACCTGACCTGACCTGCCACTCGTAACCTGAGTGGACCTGACCTGACCTGCCACTCGTGACCTGAGTGGACCTGACCTGACCTGCCACTCGTAACCTGAGTGGACCTGACCTGACCTGCCACTCGTGACCTGAGTGGACCTGACCTGACCTGCCACTCGTAACCTGAGTGGACCTGACCTGACCTGCCACTCGTAACCTGAGTGGACGTGACCTGACCTGCCACTCGTGACCTGAGCGGCAGAGCTTGACCCGGGTTCACCCGCTGGCGAATCATCGATACAGCACTCCTCGGGTGCGAGTCTACATGCCACGTCATCATTACCAGCTTGGAGTCTAAAGTAGCTAGTGCCGTTGCTCTGCCGTTACATCATGCAAGGCCGGCTGAAAAGCCGTCCACGAGGGTACTCTATCGGCCCAGACTTCCGTGCGTCGGTGCAGGCCAGGTTTGGCAGCGAGCTGACCCGCAACCTGGCCAGAGTTTTCCGCAGCAAGAGTAAACAAGTTTTCTCCGACCTGCTGCGAACTTGGACCGAATTCTTGCCAAATCACCCTGCATCTGGTGCACGCCTCCTGTTCAGGAAGGGGGAGGGTGGCATGGCTCCGTGGATCCCTCGGCCTCGTCCCTGTCCAGAGGCGCGGCAGCACATTCCTCGGGGAACTGGATCCGCGATTACTGATTCAATTCCCCTAACTGCAGTACGGGAGTGCTGTCGGCTAAATACGCTACCGACCCCCAGGCGTGTCGTCCGCAGCCCTGTCTGGCGTTTACGGACCCCGCGCTGAGTCGGCTGTCTCTTGCAGGTGCCGCGACTTCCGTGAGTGCTGCGCTGCCCAGGACGCGGCGCGCGCGCCGCTGCGCCGCCGCCGCCGCCGCCGCTTCCCGAGCGTCAGTCGGAACGCTACCGAAATAGTCGCCGCCGATCGACTGGCGGGCGGCCGCGATAGCCCGCCACGCCACCGGCCCGTCACGTGCGTCACGCGTCACGGCGATGTGACGCGCCGCCATGGGCAACACGTTCGTGAGCGCGGCGGCGCCGCCGGCCGCGCCGGACCGGGCCGACGGCGAGGCGCCGGCTAGCGCGGTGCAGAGTCTGAGCAGGCGGCCCGAGCGGGGAATCCTGAAGTCGGCCCAGCCGCCGCCGCCGCCGCCGGAACACTTCGGCCAGCTGGCGACCAAGTCGGCTGAGCTGTCGGCGCCGCAGGACGAGGATGAGTCCTACCGGCCGAGAGATGTCGCCGCGGAGGAGTCGATTCCGCTGGTGCCGGCCGGCAGAGGGCGCCACGCCGGTCCGGGCACCGCCGGGGCGCCGCGGCCGTCGCCGGTACTGCCGGTCCCCGGGGAGGACAGGAGGACGGCGGGGCCCGGCGAGGACGACTACGAGGCGTTTGACACACCGCTCGGCTCGCTCGAGTCGCCGCGTGGCTCGCAGTCCTCCGAGGACCCGCTGCAGCTGCTGGAGGACCTGGCCGGCTCGCGGCAATCCAGCCTGGCCGGCGAGACGCCGAGCGAGGCGGGGGCCGAGCGAAGCGCCAGCCTCGACGAGGCGCTGTTCGAGGAGGTACTCCGCGCGGCGGGCTCGCAGGGCAGGCTGGACCGCGCCCTGGCTGACATGCTGCGGCCTGACCATGCGCTCCGGCCGGCCCGCGACGCTGCCGCCTTCCGGCGAGGTCTGGTGTTCCAGTTCGACCCGCCGGGGGCGTCCGATGACGGCCTTCACGCATGGTCAACCACCTCCGGCGGCGGCGCGTCACCTGGTCGCCGGGCCGACCTCCGAGAAGGAGGGGAAGTCTCCGAGGAGGAGGCCTCTTCCGCCGCCGAATTGTACCGAAATAAACGCGCGGCCGGCGGGGGCGGCGCAGGGGCGCCACCAGGCGACGTGACGGGCAGGTTCCCACCAGCGAACGAGACCGCCGGCCGCCGGCCAGAGCCGGGGCCGGAGCCAGAGCCGCCCGGCCACATGCTGAGACCCGAGCCAGAGCCGCGCGCCGACAAAGAGGAGTCGCCGTTCTACGACAACGTCGACTATGGCCGGTCAGAGCAGGGCGCGGCTGGACGAAGCCCAGCGGCTGTCCGGCGAGCTGGCTCAGAGCCAGACGTGACGGGACCGCTCGCCGAACAGGTGGCGACGTTAGCGCCTCTGGCGGGCGAAGGCGACGGCTCGGCCAGCGTTAGCCTGCAGCAGATGGCGCTGGCGCTGGCCGCGAACACCGACGACGAGGACGACGACGAGGCGACGGCGCGGTCCGGCGAGTCCTCGCTGCGGCTGTCCGTGTCCTCGGAGGACTCGGCGCGCACAGAGGACCTGCTGATAGACGACGCGGCGCGCGACGTCTCGACCGCCGGCTCGCTGAGCGACGGCTCGCTCCGTCTCTCCCTCATCTCCGACATTACGGCCGACTCGGCCGGCTGGGACGAGCGTTCGCTGCCGTCCGACGCGTGCCGTGAGCTCAGCGACGAGGACGCGCCGGCCAGCTGGCGCGACGGCGACTCTCTCGCCTCCGACCCGCCGTTCGAGAAGCACCTCGATGCAGACGCCACGCCGAAGATCCAGCGCCGACACGAGGTGCTAGCGCTGGCTGAGGTGCACACCCCACCAGTGGCCGGACGACCTCCGCGCTGCCCGGGCCGCCGGAGCCCGGCCGGTCCGGCCGGCGGCTCGCCGGACAGCGGCTGCGCGGCTGACCGCGGACTGGACAGCGGCGCGTCCGGCGCCAGCCACGAGACTTCGGTTGACTCGGGGTTCTCGGCCGCCTCGCGCGCACCGCCGTCGTTCGGTGACGCATTGGCCGGCGGCGAGGCGGCGGACGGCGAACGTGGCGCGGCCGCGGAGGCCCCGCCGGCGCAGCGCGAGCTCGTGCCTCTCCAGCCGTCGCGGCCAGCTCGCGCGGGACCGACGACGCCGCCGCGCCAGACGGTGACGTACACACACGGGAGTGACGTCACTGAGTGACGTCACTCCTCCCGAGACGCGTCGCTATGACGAGAGGTCGGTGTTGACGCTGACCGACTCTAGGACGGGCCCGGCCAGCGGCGCGCCGGGCGGCGCCGGGGGCGCCGGTGACGCGGAGGGCGCCCCGGGCGTTGACGGCGGGGTCGCGTCGGCCCGGGCCGAGCCGAGGCCGGGCGCTGCCGCCGCGTCGGCGCCGAGCCCGACGCGGGCGCCGGAGCTGGAGACGATCCCCGAGGAGGCGCAGTCCAGCTCGGTGGAGAGTTGCTCCCAGTGTGACGCGGACCATGACCCCGATCCAGATCCAGATGCAGATCCAGACCTACATCAAAATCTAGACCTAGACCCAGACCCAGAGCACCAAAACCCAGAGCAAAACCCAGACTTGGGCCCGGACCCAGAGGCGACGTCCAACGAGCGCTCGGCTCTGCCGAGCGCCAGCGCCTCCGAGGACCGGATCTGGGACACGCTGCGCCAGCTGAGCGGCCGGCAGAGGGCGTCGCGAGCCGACCCCGCCGACCCGGGCACGGCCGTGGTGCCGCTCGGGGGCTCCGGCGAAGGCCAGTCGCCGCGCCGGACGCCCGGCGACGGCGAGGCGCCGCCCCCACCACCGGCCGACGCCAGTGCACGGGAGGATGGGGACCTTGGCTCGCCGCCGGGACTCGCAGCGAGACGCCGCCGGCTGTGGAGAGGAGCGGGCGGTGCAAAAGCAGGTGTCTTTCGAGGAAGAAGCGGAGGTTGCAGGGCAGGTGCCGGCTGCCAGTCAGAAGGGCGAATCAAGGTCGCCTCAGAGTGGGAGAATAGCCGTTGTCGACACGTTCATAATCACCTCGCCGAAGGTGTCTCGAAAGAGGCAAGCCTCTCAGCCATTTGTCGAGGCACTCCGCAGCACACCAGCGAAAATTAAATCCTCTGAGGAGACGCAAAAGCAGCCAAAGCTTTCCGAAGCCACTAGCCGGCAACTGGAGGAGTACCTGGCCCGGATGGACGAGGAGCTGCTGAAGGAGGGCTCCTCCAGTCCGGAGAGCTCTGTCAAAAGCGTGGAGGATCTAGCCGACGAGCTGAGTGGCGGCGACGAGGACGCGCTGCGCCGCTTGGAAGACGAGTTCGACGAGACGTTCCGCCGCCTGGCTCGTCGTCAGGCTGCGTCAGGCGCGCCAGGCGTCAGGCGCGGCCAGCCAGGCGTGTCTCGCCGCGCGCCAGCGGGCGCCGGTCCGGCCGTCGCGGCCGATGACCGTGACCGCGTCGGCGTCGGTGACGCGTCGCCGGCCGCGAGAGCGGCGTCCGAGAATAACACGACGGTCCCGGCGGCCGCAACGGACCGGCCGACGTCGCCGGCCGGTCAGGCGACGAGACCGATTGCGAAACCGACGACGGCGGAGCTGACGGAGAAGAAAAAGAAGCAGAAGAAGAAGCCGGCGGACGAGCCGACGAAGGTGCCAGCGTCGGAGCCGACGAAGGAGCCAGCGTCGGAGCCGACGAAGGAGCCAACGTCGGAGCGGACGGACGAGGCGACCCCGGAGCCGACGAAAGCGCCAACGTTGAAGCCGATGACAGAGCCAGAGTCGGAACTGACGAAGGAGCCAAAGTCGGAGCTGACGAAGGAGCCAACGTCGGAGCCGACTGAGGTGCCGACGGCGGCCGTCCGACGGCGGCACCAGGACGATACCCTCGGCGAGGCGGCGGCGAGCGGCGAGGCGAGCCGAAACTCGGACGGCTTCTCGGAAGTCAGCGCCACCCTGCGGCGGCTCGAGGACGACCTCATCGAGCAGCTGGCGCGCATGGGCGACCGCGACGTCTGCGAGCTCTCCGTGCGCGAGAAGCGCGGCTTGTTCGAGCCGAGCGGCGCCGCCGCCGCCGCCCGCAGCGTCGGACCCGACGAGGCGGTCCCGGCCGATGCGCGGGCGGCTGCTGGGAGGTCTGAGGAAGGGGACACGGAGCGGCCGGAGCTCAGGCCGCTGCCGGACCGCAGCGCGCCACTGTCTTCGCCTGCGCGGGTCAGGCGGGACCCAATGGAAATTAACCCTGACGAACCATTCGACGAGGCGCTGTATGCTGGACATGGTGCGGCAGTTGACCCGAAACACGTGGGCGCCGGCTCCGAACATTGTAACGAGGGCGGCCTTAACTAGCTCTCCCAGATACCCGCAGCCAAATCGAGTCCCATCGCCCGTTGATCTAGACGAAGGCGTGCCAGCGTTGGCCCCTTCGCCGCAGTTTCATGTCATGGCGTCGCCTGTCTCAAAGCCAGATGATATTCGCGTACGAGAATGTGACGCAGGTCAGCACAAGGATGAGGAGCGAATGGAAATGGGCTCGCCGCAATATGACGTCAGAACATCCATTGCCGAGATGCCGAGCCAGGCGGACAGCCCGCGGCAGTATGACGTCAAATCAAATCGTCCTATTGCTTCTCCTCAGTATGACGTCAAATCGAATTGTCCTATTGGTTCGCCGCAGTATGACGTCACCACGTCAGGCGACGAGCGTCTGACGGAGACGGACGAGCCAACGGAAGAGGACTCGTCGGTGCGCATGCGCGGGCCGTGCGCCGGCCAATCGGAAGAAACCGAGGACGAGTGGACGCCGCTGGGCGAGCCGGAGCTGCAGGGGTGCAGCACCTTCACTCCCGAGCTGCCCGAGGTCGTGTTCATCGACTCGGACCACTGCGAGCCGGTCGAGGCCCCCTGCAGCCCGGCGGCGGGCGGAGAGGCGACGCCGACGCCGACGCCGTCCCGCCTGGCGCCCAGCCCCCCGCCGCGACCTGGCCTCCCGCCGAGTCACGAGCAAGACCTCGTCTGCGCCGACCCGGCCACCGGCGGCGACCGGCTGTCCGAGGGTCTGTCACCGCCTGCCGAGGGCGCCGCTCAAATTGTTGGCAGCGGTCGCGCCGGCCCGTGTCAAAGTCGCCTGTCCCACTTCGTCGAAGGCGACGAGGGTCAGTCGGAGTCGAGCGGTGGACGTCGGCCGCCGGGGTCCGGGGAGGTCAGAGTCCGGAGTCCGCCGCCGCCGGACGGGCGCCGGGCGAGCGTCGGCCCGCTGCCGGTGCGCAGGTCTCTGAGCTCCGGCGGCCGCCTGGCGCGGCTCGTGCGCCGCTTCGAGTCGGGCGAAGAGCCCGTCGACACCGACGAGGAGCGTCGCTCGCCGCCGGTGACTCGGCGGAGGCACAGCCTGGCCGGCGACGGGCTGACGACGCTGGCAGACGTCGATCGTACGTCCGCGCGGGACGGCATCGCCATGGAGATCGAGCCGGGGCACGTGCAGGGCGTGAAGAGCACCTTTCTCTCGTCCGTCAAGTCGTCCAGCGTCGTTACCAGGACGCTCGCGTCGGAGAGCAACGCCATCGTGCCGGCGGCTGCGCCGGGCGACGCGACGGAGGACACCGAGCAGAGCGGCACGCTTTACATGAAGGTACGCGCCACCACACCGGTGCTAACACTGTCGAGCGACGCGCTCGCGCAGCAGCCCGCTCCTGGGGCGCCGCTGGCCACCTCACCCATCTGCCGCGTCCAGGTGGGCGGCGCGGCGTCCGGGGAGGACTCGGTCACGTCATCCGGCAGCGGGCAGGACAGCGGCGGCGACGTGCTTCGCGACATCCAGAAGAACCTGGCCGAGGTGGCGGCGCCGGCGCCGCCGCGTCCCGCAGACGCCGCCGCCGGCGCCGAGGAGCAGCGTCAACTGCAGCGGCTGACCAGGGCCGCCAGGGCCGTCCCGTCGCTGGCGGACGCGACTGATGCGGCGGACGGCGCCCCCGTCACCGCGGGCGCCGAGGTCACGGCTGACACTGCGCCCTGGAGAAGCCCGGCGGCGTCCAGGAAGAGACACCGCTCGCAGCCGGCGCCGCCGGAGCCTCCAGCCCCGCGCGAAGCGCTTCCGCCGGCGGCGGTCGCCCCGCCCGAGCCGCCTCGCCGCTGCCGCCAGCCGGCCGGCTCGCCGCCGCCGCCGCCGGCCGTCTGGCAGGCTCCAGCGACGGCCGGCCCTCCTCCGCCGCCGCCGCCACCGGAGCGGCGCGGCTCGCTGGGCCGGTCCGAGCCCCGGCCGCGCTCCAACTCGGTGCCGGGGCTGGCGCAGCCTGCCGAGGCCCCGGAGCTGGAGAGGCCTGAGAGCGTGTGGGACTACACCGAAGACGGCGGCTGGAGGCGCGGTCGCTGGGCCAGCACGCACAGCATTCGCTCCCAGGAGCCGGAGGACTGCGTTGACACGCTCAGGTCAGAAGCTGACACGCTCAGGTCAGAGACTGTCACGATCTGGTCAGAGCCCGCCACGCTCAAGTCAGAGACTGTCACGCTCAGGTCAGAGACTGACACACTCAGGTCCGACGCTGTCATGCTCAAGTCAGAGACCGACACGCTCAGGTCATGGCCTGTCACGCTCAGGTCAGAGCCTGTCACGCTGAGGTCAGAGACTGTCATGCTCAGGTCAGAGACTGTCATGCTCAAGTCAGAGAACGACACACTCAGGTCAGAGTCTATCGCGCTCAGGTCAGAGACTGTTACACTCGGGTCAGACTGTCACACTCAGGTCAGAGACAGTCACACTCTGGTCAGAAACTGTCACGCTCAGGTCAGGCGGAATGAGAGGTTGCTGTTGTGTGCTCATACACAGTTCACTGTTCTCAAGTCGTGCGTGAAGAGATGCGTTCTGGGAGTAGACAGCGGGAGGAAACCCTCATGTCACGGCCGGAGGTGGTTACCAACTGTAACCAACGTGATCAGGTTACCCATCACCCGCCTCAGATTCGTCAGTATCACCGCCGCAATTTCAGTAAAGGGACAAATGGACAGTTTTTCCTCACTGATGCCGATAGTCCGTGCCCTGTACGCCGTGGTAAGCCTCTCCCAGCGCCGTACTTCAGGTACTGGTACCTCTGACCGCGGCGCCTGCTCCAGGTACTGGTACCCGGAGGCTTTCGTACGACGCCGCAGCCGCGAGTCGTCGCGCAGTCGCGAGCGCCTACCGGACTGGGACGCCGACCTGGATGACCTAACTGACGCGCTGAGCGAGCGCCGGCTGCGCACCCACCTGCTGCGCCGCTGGCTGGACGGCGGCGGCGGCGTCGGCGGCGGCAGGCCGGCCTCGCGCTGCCAGTCTGTGTGGGACCTGAGCGACTGGGGCGGGCCGGCGCGCGCCGCCGACGCCCCGCCCAACCCCAACCTGACCCGCCTGCTCGACCAGGAGATGAAGGAGGCGTTCTTCGAGGACGCGCTGCTGGGGCTGATGGAGCGGCGCCGGCGGCGCGGCCGCGGCGAGCCCGGCGCGGGGCCGCCGCCGGCGCGCTCGAGGTCACTGCTGGACCTGTGTCGGCCCAGTCACGCGGAGCTGGTCACCACGCACACGTACGACTACGACCGGACGCCGCCCTACCGCTCCAGTCACGTGACCAGGTGCGTGCCGCCGCCGGGGGGGGGGGTAAAGGGAAGGGGGGGGGGATGTCGCGGCTGGAGCCGGTCTAGAGGCCGTCGGCTTGAAGCGGCCGCGCGTAGAGCTCGCACGAGGGTATATTAAGGCAGAGTTCGGTCTAGCTGACACGTCGCGTAGATGTATGAGCCTCCTGGGTAGCCTGACGTAGATCACGTGGCATGACATGCATAGATGCACGCTTTACCAGCCATGGTAGAAGTGGGCCCTGGCTTCTCGTGTCCATGCGACGGAAGCGGTTTATGCGTGGTGCCGACTCTTAGCTTGCACCGCAATGCAAGATTTGTCTCCCTTCGCCAACCCATATTTAAAATATGCATGAATGCTCGTCTTATCCCAACCAGCGACCACGGGCATGTGAATGTGAGCTAGTTTGAAACCATTTGGTAAATTTCATCGAAGCTGTCCTGTTTCAGCCCGGGAGCCGGGACCAAACCCACAAGGTAACGGCAGCTTGCGTGAGCAGTTATGTTATTGCTGTGAAAGTTTAGGAAGTTTTCACTTTTGTGCGTAGTTTTGAGATCAGATGGCCATACTGAACACCGAGAAACACTCTCAAAGCGAATCTTTAAGACAGTATTTTAAGCAGGTCTTCATCTACTTCTGAGCTGGAATGGCGATTGTGTTCGGGCCCATTACATACCGTACCACGTAGCGAAAGAAGAAGCGTCCTATGGCCAAGCACGAAACGCCGACACCGGCTAACAGCCATTACCGGCCATTGATTGGTTGGATGTGACGTCATGCAAACATGACGCAACCCGATCGAGTTTCTGCTGTCCCGCAAGCACGACACGTCCAGCAGTTTTGGCAGGCAAATAGCTTGCCAGCATTCAGCGTAGGCGGTCTAATAGTGTTTTCTTCTTTTCTGATATGCCCCGAACGTGAAGGGTATCTGTGAATTGCGATGTGTATGTGATCAACATTTTGATTTTCGCCGAGAGATATGTGTACTGGGCCCGGCTTCCGCCAAATGTCTAACTACCTCATACATCGACGAACAACATCGAACCGTTGAAGTTGTATCTGCGCGGTCAGATCGGTGGAATTTATCATGGCAATGCTTGAGATTGTGGACTTTACATGCACGGCGTTTCTAAAGATGTGCATTATGCAACTCAGAAATATCGAATAGCGCTGAATAGCGAACAGAAAACAACAGTGTTGCTTTCTCTCGCACCTCCAGCTTCATTGCAGGCCAAGCAGACCTCGTAACCTCTTTGGGCGTTTCACTTAGCGCAGAACTGCAGGTGGGAGAGCTCATCCAGCGTAATCAGTGCGTAACCAGGTGGTAGAGCGGCTGAGGACGTCGCAAAACGCGTAACATTATTAACGGACGGTCCGACGCATTACCACCTCGGTTAATACCATACAAAGATGGGCTAGCATGGCATCGCAGCATCACCCTTATCCAGTAGCATAACGCGTGCGCTCATCGCCGCAGGTACCAGCACCAGGGCCGGACTGACCCATTCCTACCGCCCGGGGGCAGCCTGTCCTACGCTCCGCGCATGCGCTGTCGGCGAGCGCAGCCGCCCAGCGACGAGCCGGCCGTCGCCGAACAGATTTACAACGAGTACCAGGTCGGAGGTCGCGGGGGAGGGGGAGGGGGTGTTTGTGAAGGGGAGATCGACAAAAATGCACACGAGAATGTGACGATGATGTGGTGGCTGTGGTTTCTGAGGACAAAGACAGCGTGGTCCTTCTCGACAAGGAGTGCAGGGGACGGTATGGCTCTGGAGATGTAATTGAGATGTTGGGTCTTGAAATATTCGAGATGTAAATGCTAGGGGGCAGGGGAAATGTCTCACAAGTTTCTCAAAAAGCATTTCTCCCCATTTTTGTCCATACAATACACGGCTCATGCCTTTTATTAAAAAAAGCAATGTTTGGGTTTCCAAATACCAGCTGGATCCCCCAATCCCCCAATTGCAGCAGCAACAGCACCTCTTATCGCGGGTCATGGGTCACGTGTTTCCGTTGCCTTCTTGAGGCCACGTATGACGGCCGTGTCTCCAGGAAAAGCTGGTGGAGCGTTTGGACCGGAAGGCAAACGGATCCCTGAGGCTGAACAAGCCGAAGCGCGAGCTCCCAGCAGAACCACGTGACTTCGGGGTCGTCGAGCAGGTCAGAACGGTGACAAAAGTATTTTTACACGTGGCACGCGCGAGGACTCCTATAAGGCGTATACAAACGTCACGTTTCTTCAGCATGTTTATTTTGAGTATCTATCTCGATTTGTCGATTGTATTTATCAACAGGTCTATGAATCCGTGTAAAATGTTTGACGAGGGGAACGTGCCCTTGCTACCGCCTCCGCTGTTTGAATGCGCTTATTAATTTGGATCATCGTATCATTACCTTGTAACTCCAAAGTTGTGAGAAATGGCTAAATGTAGGTGTCGTGCCGGCCCCCTGATGCACTGCAACATTTAACGCACTCTCGTCGTATTGACGTGTGCATGTGTGCGAAGATATCACCCGAATGCAATTTCTCACCTGTTACTGTCTCTATGAAATGCGACAAGGTTAAGGAAGGCCAGATACATATATAGAACTGGGCAGAGAGCCCTCAAAAAGTATAAGCTTATGCTATTGAGCCATCATGAGCCTTAGATACCTGCCACTAGCTGAATTGAAATGCCAAATTTGGAACGATATTCAACATTCAGCAATACCGCTGACTGGCGCTTTCACATGCTCACGCCGTGCTCACCGTCACTCCGCCGTTCTCTCACATGTTCATCCCGTCCTCACCGTCACACCGCCGTTCTCTCACATGTTCACCCCGTCCTCACCGTCACACCGCCGTTCTCCAACATGCTCACCCCGTCGTCACCGACACCCCGCCGTTCTCGCTCTCCACTCCCGCCCCGTCTCTCGTCTGGCGTATCCAGACTGCACGAACATGCGCCTGTGGTCTCAGGACCTTGAGGGGCCCACCCAGCTTCAGCACCAGGACCAGGACCGGCACCAGCACCAGCACCAGAACCAAGACCTGGACCAGGTGCTCCTGTCGGCAGGTCCGTCAGGAGTTCATGGGCCGCGTGCAGGAGCGCAAGGACAAGTACGGCGCCGACTGGGACCCACGGGAGCAGGAGCAGGAGCAGAAGCAGGAGCCGGCGCCCGTCAGCTTCAGGATCGAGGGCACGGCCGACGGCATCAGCGAAGCCATCGCGGACGACGTCAAGTACTTGCTGCAGCAGGACGGTGAGTGCCGGCTGTTCGGGACAACTGGGCTTTGGCGCAGAAGGGCCGGGTTCGAATCTCGACCGCGGCTGACCTTTCTGGGCGAGGTTGCGATCACCGCAGTTGCCGTGGTGCAGTGCAAATGCCTTTGAGAAGTGGTGTTTGGGATTCTCCATTGCGTGCCGAGATAGCCGGCTGAATTTTCCATCGGGAATTTATGACATTGCCGGAACGCTCGAACGAAAACAAGCATGGCGGATAATTTTGGATTTTTTGAAGGGAATGTCCCACGTCTTGGAGAAAAGATGTAGTGCTAGTGGTTTTTACCGCGGGGCGTTGCGAGATGAGAAAAACAGTGAAAGATCATCCACAAGCGAAATAACAAGCCGGCGTAAGTCTGCAAGCAAACTTAAGCTGGGACAGTGTGACCCAAAAACCGAACACCATGAAACAGCAGCCATGACTCTCTAATCATGCGCATGTGCTGTCGGTCAGTGTTTAAACCTCTATTTCACTGCATCCCATCTTTTCCTATGACGAGCTGAGTTTGACGCTTGTTAGCTTGTGATCATTGGGGCTTTACGTAAGACGACCCCAGCTGCTGAGGTTATACGGCGTCGCCTACCTTTCACCCTGGTCGAAACAGCGCCCACCGTCCGGCATAAAACCCTGTGCCTCTACTTTCCCAGGTCCGCATCTTAACCATTACACGACCGGTATTCCTGCGTTTGATACGTGACGCGTTCCTAGTCTTTAACGACAGGAGTGCGACGACATATGTCTGGCCTGACGCCGCTGCCCAAACGGCATGACGATGGTTAAAGCGGGCGAAGCGGGCAGCCCAGCTGGAGTCTAGACATGTTAAGGCTTGAAATGAGTCTCCGAGCACTTAACGTTAAGGTCTTCGCGCAGCGACGTTATGAATCACGCATATACATGACCCAGCTGCGTAAAATGCGCGGCCGAGCCGTTGAGCAATGTCTTTCCGACCGGGAGTTATTATGACAAGACCTTAAATTAGGTACGGAATGCTACGTTGGGCTGGGGTGCACCGTGCTGTCGCAAACGACAGCCGTCTTGCGTGAAAAATTTCCGTTCACCGCTAGGGTCATGCGTTGTGTACTTCAAGCGGTTGGACAAGTAGATGAATATGACTATTTGCAGGATAAATAGGATATTTGGGCGACGTTTTTCTCTTTCAAACTGTGCCCAGCTACTTTCATGCAATAATTTATTTCCGTCCACGACCTCAGACCAATGCTCCGCACCCCCCCCCCCCGCGTCTAGACGCGCTGGGGCCGCCCCTGCCACCGCGCCGGTGCGGCCAGGGCCAGTCTCTGCTGTGCCTGACCGATGGCTTTGAAGGCGCCGGCTCCGACCCGCGGGACCCCCGCGGGTCTCGACCGCCAACTGGGGCGGCTCTGTTCGCGAGCCACGCTGGCGTGGCGACAGAGCTGTGCTCCCTGGGGGGGGGGGGGGGGGAGGATTGGCGGCGCGCGGGCTGTCATAGAAATCCACAGGTTGCTGCGGCCGATCGAGAAGCAGTGCGACCGTTGCAAGGTGGTCGTTTTCTGACAGACTGAGTGAGGAGACTACACCGCGTATACGTGATAAGAACATAGCCAACTTCGCCTCAGGCTCTAAAGTAAACTGCTCGGGGTTCGGGTGATCGCCAATATCCATCACTCCAGAGGTGGCGCTGGCCTCCGCCCAACAAAATCCATAAAAAATCGACATAACACGGTGTCGTCTGATGCGTTGCCCACCTGATGCCTCGAAGATCGGACGGTGGTATTGTTGGCACGCCGCCTGGCGCAGGGTGTTTTTGGCGCGCCGTCGACAGGGCGCGCCACCCACGACCGTTTTGGCGCGAAGCCAGCGCGCCGGCCGAATGCGTGCCCTGCTGACCCGGCGTCGCGGGCAGCTTGACAAATCAGCTGATCATTAGTCGTCTGGGCGCGCGTGCCGGCTGCGGTCATTTATTATGCAGGCCATCACGAGTTTTCCGCGTCGCGGAAGAGCCCTGACAGAGTTTGCACGTGCCGCAAGATGAATGAGGCCTAACCGTGCCGCGCGCGAACAGGCGGCCAGGCGCCTCCAAGACCGCCGGAGTCGGCCATGTATTGCGTTGCGCATTAGGTGTCTTTCTTGGCCCCGCTACCCCTGGTTACGCACTGGTCCCGCTTAGTGAGATCTACCTGCGGGGGTGTCGCTTTGTAAAATCGGTGGAGGCGGGGGGGGGGGGGGGGTGGGGGGGGGGGGGGGGGTGCTGAGCCGTTAAAGATGGCCTAATTTGCCCCAAATCCTGATTTCTCCCCGGACTTCGGTCACTTTGATTTTTGTTCCTTAGTTTAAAAGATCGGGCGGCTCCAAAATTGCTTTGATGATCAGGAATGAGTCCCCATTTGAAGTCTGCATGATAGCTATAATGATGTATGATGAAACTATTGATACTGAAGAGTTTCGACTACTGGTACACAAGCAGTTCAGCTACTGAAACATTTTGGTGACCAAATAAAATTCCCTTTTTGCTCATATACATTGGGGGGACTCAGAAGAACGTTGAGGAACTCCCAGTTTTTGGGGGAGGGAGGACGCTCAGCTCCAGTAAGTATATAACATGGCACCCGTACCCACTTGGCCAGACTGTTCGAGCGTTTTTTAAAATGTTTCTTTGCGGTCTGGAACTACATCTGCGTGCAGCGTCACGCTGTCCAAAGCTATCATCCTTCCTAGCACGCTTTGGTTAGGCTTCATTACCCAACTCAGGCTTCAGCTCTCCCCCCCCCCCCATCCTTAGAAAGTGGGCCAAATCTGGGGAGAAACCTGTTTGTGGGCAAGGTAGATCGACTCATTCGTCACCGCTCAGTCCCCCCCCCCCCCCACCACCACCCGTTCTGTGAAGCCACGCCCCTGCCGCATGGGTGCAAGTCTTTAAGACCTGACACCCAGTGCACCGAGTAGCCTGAGTTCAGAACTGTTTGAAGGTAAGCATGAACCAGCCGGGGTCCTGGGCGCGCGCCTGCCACTGCGCGCGACTGGCGCCGGCAGGTCGTGTGAGGCGTGACCCCAGACAGCCGGGGTCGACGCCACTGTCTATCTGAGCTCCGTGCGTCTCCCTGGAGAGATGCACGGAGCTCGTGCATCTCCCTGGAGAGATGCGCGGAGCTCAGGAGCGAGGCGTCGCACGGTGAGACCTGCGAGTCCCGAGATACAGAACAGCAGCCGAGAGCTGTCCAGGCGGTGGTGCGGACTTCACAAATTTCCGGTCTCATCGCGTGACGTTTGTTGCACGCAACACTGGATTCAGGCGGGACAGCGGATTCTGCCGCATGTTATCATCGCGCATTGGGAAACCCTATCATCATCGTTACTGTTGCGGAGTAGTCGATGTAGAAGTAGTCGTCGGAGAAGAAGTCATCGATGACAGCTCAGGTCTAAAGCGATGCGACTGAGAGCATTTAGCGCGCTATTCAGAGCGTGTTATGGCGATGTGTGCCCGGAAGGTGCGGTAAACCGTGGGAAAACTGCGCTTTATGTACCAGCATTCCCATTAGTGGCACATAACTCACGGCACCTGTGGCAGCCGCCCACGGCAAGCAGAATGCCGCTCGTCACCATTGCTAAACCATGAATCGGCCGCGTTTTGTGCACGCCACAGTTCAGCTATTTTGATAAATTGGCGTGGCGAGTATCTGCGAACCCCGCCGCAGGAGCGCGCTCAGTTTTGCCAGGCGAGGCAACATGAGATATTTTGATGTGTCTACAAAGCGAGGAGGCTAGCTAGGACCTCGCTTAGGTTTTTGGTGTTCGTTAACGGGCGGAACCCCAGATCTGCCCACTCTGGGGGTTTCGATGTCGAAGTCGAGGGCCAATTTCGGCCATTCATGGTCTCTGGAGTGGGGCATCAATTGTCCTAGGAACATCCAACCGAGGTAGCGGCCACGTGCTCGTAGACTACCGCTGCATGCTATTTAAGCATGAGCTTCGGCCCACACAACATGGTGTCAATGGTACACTTGCAACCCAACCCACAAAATAGATCAGACTAAGCCAGGGTAGCTTGACTTGTCTAGCTAAACTCGGCCGCCTGTCGGAACCCCCCATACATTGCCGCCTGAGCGCGCCCCTGCGCGCGACGTGACCTGCACGACCTGTCCGCCGGGCGCTGCTGACCCAGATGACAGACTCGCGCCGGCGTGGCATCCCACTGCGGTCGACCGGCAGCGGACAATGCGCCGCCGGCCATTCAACCGTCATGGCTTCCGGTCACGTGATGATCGGGCCGTGATCCTCCGCTCAGCGGATCCCGGTTGTGCCGCTGCCGCGCGGTGCGCCCACCTGGCGCTGAATCGTGCGGCGACGGCGTGGACGGCTGGCCGCGCGGCCCGGCACACACGTGAAGCGCCCGAGGCACTGCGTAAGTAGCCGCTGGGTTATGGGCAGCTAGTGGCATTCGGCTTGTTGCAAGATTGGGATGGCGGTCCAGCACAGACCGTTCTTTTCTCGTGCTTCCACGACTACTGGTACGTCAGATGGGCTCTTTGATCGATGTCATAAAGCACCAGATGCTAGTTTGGTCCATAGGACATGTCCTCACAGCCATGAGTAACGCCACGTCTCTGAAGAAAGGGGAGAGAACCAGTGTGTGAGTTAATGAAGCTGGCGTACAGAAAAATGCCTGACCTAAAAATAGAATTCTCGGACGAAAAAAAGTGCAAACGAGTTTACATAATGAGGGTTGATTCCTCTCATCTCACCATTTGCAATCTGGCCATTTGGAGGGAGGGAAATGCTACACCTGTGCTGATACTGTCTCCATTGGCTAGTTCAGCATTTGAGAGGGTTGATTTGTATATCAGCTAACTTCACTTAGAACATATATTACAGGTTCAAGGTGTATGACTTAAAATCACACTGCGATCATTTGTGAATGAAAGCTGAGCGAAAAGCAAACGATTTAAGCACCGGTATACCCAAGCATTCGGTGCCGGCTTTCACCCACCGGCAACTATTGGCAA